GGATTTCATTGGGATGAAAGAGATGTTAGCACTTGCCCTTCACCACCCCTGGCTCCTAGCAGACCCTCCCTAAGTGGCAAATGAAACAACCAAAAGGGTGTGCCCACTCTTCCCCCTCCCACCTCCACCCCCTGCCACTGGGTACCCAAGAAGTGGAGAACTGGGCTTGTATGGACAACCCTTGGCGTAAAGTGGAAGGAGAAAACTTGGCTTTTCCGAAAGGTGCTCGTGGTGGTATGCAAGGGGACATGCTGCCCTTTGACAGGTCTAGTGGAAGGTGTCTCCGTATCAGGCCTCCATCAAAACTACGTTAATACACTGCTCATGAATTAGTTAGTCTTCTTTTGTCTAAGTCCTTACAATGCTTGCCCATTTGGACTTGGAAGAGCTGCAGGAGGGACCCCTGCTGAGGCCGGCTGGTCACCATTGCCCAGCCTATGGTCCCAAGAATCCAGGGCAGGCCTGGGCTACCTACCAGCCTCGAGGACACATGTGGTCCACTAGGTCCTCCACTGTAACCAGAGTTCACCAAATCAATCCCCTTCAGCAAAGGATTGATTCTGTCAAACTTGGAGTCAGTTCAAAAGTCGCACCCAAGCACCTAGAAGGCCACATGGGGCCTGGGGACCTCAGGTTCCCCACCCCTGCTCTAGAGGCTCCTGGATTCAGCCCTGGAGGCAGCCTGGAGAACTGCCCATGCTCCTCCACAGAGAAACTGCAAGCATGGCCTGGAGACCTGGAAGACTGGGCAGAAAATTCTGGATTGGAACCCCAAAGGAGGGAGTGTCCCTGCAAACTCAGGACCCTCAGACTAGCAGAAGTGAACTCACCAGACTCAGTTGTGATCAGAGGCAGGAACTACTGAGGGGAGAGCTCCTAAAAGATACTCAGGAAGAGAGTCCCACTTGTAGTCAGAGCCAACCCACTTCCCTGAAGAAGCAAGAGGAATGGGGGCAGGCGAGTGCTGCTAAATGTTCAACAACCAGCTCTGGAGGAGGGCAAGGCACCCACAACCCATTTCTCCCATCATCTTCTTCAGTGGAGACACTCAATGAAACCCTAATTGGGAGCTGACTCTCAGGAGCAGGTTGCAGCTGGTCCCAGCACACTCCTGGCCCTGACCTGAGTCTATCATAAGATTCATTGAGTAAAAGTCTCCAAAAGCTGAAAAGGAACAGGGCAAGGCCTAAGGGGAAATTGACCTGGAGGACTGTGGAGTCCCTTGGAGCAGTGGATCTTAAATTGTGACAGGCCCCAGGGAGGCCTCACTGACCTGATTAACAGAAAGAAATCCTGGAGGGAGGCAGCTGTGGTCAGGCAGTGCCAGGTGTTTCCCAGGCACCACTGGAATGCTGCAAAGAGCCAACCTGTAAAGGGCACAGCAGAGGGATTCAAAGGCTTGCCCCTGCCAGCCCATCCTTTCCCAGATCTAGTCGTCTCCCAGCATGCCAACTCTGCAGCTGCTTCTGGCTATTCTGTTCTTCCATCCTCCCAGAGCTCTTCAGCTGTGCTTGGGGATCCTTCCATAATAAGCCCATCTCCCCATAGAGTCCTCAAGTTACTCCACCCTGGCCCAGCTTGCCCCTGCATAGGCATGAAGAAACTCTTCTCGGTACAGTGAAGCACCACTCCCCTGGGCACCGTGGCCACCCCCTGGTACAACCCACCTGAAATGTATATTGCCATCCAGTTAAAGATGCCAACTTGGGAGGCACCATTATTGGAGGTGGATGCAGAGCCAGGCTGGTGGGTAACGGAGTGCCCTGCAGGGAAGGGAAGAAATGAGCATCCACCCAGGAGGAGAGACAACCATGTCTGAGGCCTGAGCCCCCCCTCCACCCTTCAATCGCCCAACTGGAGCCAGACTGCAGAGTTCTCTCTTCCTCTTATCTGAGAGATACTTGCTCCACCCCCAGCTATGGGGCACCCTTTGAAGGAAGTGGGGCAGCGCCTGGGGAATGGGCCTCCAGGGCAGAAGAAGTGATGCCTACCTGCAGAGTCATCCTCAGAGAAGTACCCTGAGGAGGATTCAGGGGTGTTACAGGTGTACAGGGCCAGATGAGGGGCTGGTGAGAGGCCTGATGAGAAGCCTTTGACCCTACTGGACTTCCTCCTCAGAGTCCTGGGGGACAGCAAGCATGAAGAGCAAAGAGAAGAGGGTGAAAAAGAGGACAGGTGAGAAGGAAATGGAAGGGGCAAGGCCTGCAGGGGAATGAGACTTTGCTGGAGACTTCGAGGAGCCAAAGCTCTCTTTTGCTGTTCTTTTCCTTAAAGAGATGAATAATTTTTCACGTGGGAGGCAGAATTAAAGCAAGCCACAGCTACCATGGGCCGGGGGAGGGGGGCTCTTTCCACATGAAACCACCAGGATGAGGTATCAGGGGAGCCAAGAATCAGCTGAAAATGTTTCCTCACCCACAGCCCTTCACCCACCTGGCTTCACCCTAAGAAGCATGGGCCTTCGGGCCAGGGAGAAGAGATCTGTGGCTGAGAGGGGTTGTTCCCTGCCCAGCTTCAGGCCTCAGGGTTTCCAGCCTTCTCTATGCTCAAAGTTGCCCCTCCTCAGTTGCTGTTCTCAGAAAGAGAAGGCAGCAGCAGCCAAAGGGTGGGACCACAGGGGGAGAGGAAATTCTCTGGTTTGGGGGGAAAGCAAGCAGTAGAGTGAAGTGTCTATCAAAATTGGGGGCAGGAAAGAAGTGTGCACATGGCAGCAGCCAAGGCCCTTGGCTGCCCTGGGGAGTTGTGATGGAGAAGGCAGCTGAGTCTCCTCTGGCTCCTCTTACCTGAGGGGACCCTCCCTCCAGTTGGTGTGCTGCTCAGCCACCTGGGAATTCCCTCCAGTGCTGCTGCTGCTTCTGCTGCTGCTGCTGTTGCCTCCATCACCAAGTGCCTGGTAACGGAGGCGCAGGCGCTCACTGTGCCGAGACATCCTCAAAGCCTTTGACTTGAGTAATTCTAGAAATTCCCCAAAGAAGGAATGAGAAGCAGTGCTTACTGACTGAGTGACTTGATGCTATTTTCTGGGAGAGCCTGAGAAGGGACTGATGAGGGCGACTTTGAAAGGGAGGGACCAAATTCCCCAGACTCATTCCTCCAAAAGGGAAGATGGGCTGGCAGCTTCTCTCCTCAAGTGCTTCTGAAGCAGCTCCAAGGCACATTGATGATGGCTGCCTACCAGGGTCAAGCTCACCAACCTCATGGCCTGAGCTCAGCCCTGCCTCAGACTGGCCACTAAGTCTACTCTCAAAAGGATCCTGCACTAGGCTTCCCTGCTGAAACAGAGGCCCAGCTCTTTGCTGACTCTCTCCCTCACAGCATCTTTATCGAATCTGAGCTTGTAACACTGGCCTTGTGATTGGGTTGCTTCACAAACACGACTTGTTCTTCTCCCCATAGACTGTAAGCTTGAGGGAAAGAACCACCTTCTCTTCCAAGTCTTTGGTTTCCCCCACCACCCAAAACCCTGTTCTGGTGGGTGGAAGGGATCACATGTACTGGTCCAAGCTAACCAGCTGATCCTAACCCTGACCCTTGGGCAATAGGCTTCATGAGAAACAGCCCTGGCCCTCTATAGACTTTTTCTTCATTTCACCATCACAGCTCTTGAGGAATATTACACTCATGCTACAAAAGAGTCAAGGTTGACAAGTGGTCCCCCCCCCTCCAAGGCAGGCCCTAGGCCTTCCCATCTGCTTGCTCAGGAAGTCCAACCTGAATGTTTCCTCAGGGATTTCTAAATTGTCAAGCCCTGTACAAGTCCATACTGGAGTTTTGTTTTTGTTTTTGGTTTTGTTTTTTTGTTTTTTTGTTTTTTTGGCGGGCAGGGGGAGGGAGATGAAATGGGGTGGAAAAGCAGGCTTGGCATTGGGAGATTCAATTCAGTCATGGACACTCCTGTACCTGGAGAACTAGGTGGGGACGGTAGGGGATGGAGCAGAGGCACACGTGCCTTGGCACAGAGGCTGTGCAGACAAAAGAAGGGGCAGCCACTGTGTCCTGCCACAGAGGAGGGAACCGTGTCCTCACCTAGGGCTCCAGACACTCCAATTGCCCACACCTCCTCTGCCTCCCGGTCCTGGCATGGCCAAACCAGCCCCCGTAGCTGCGGAGACTGCTTCCTCCCTGCCCTGGCACCGCTTCCTCGTCCGCGTCCCCCTCCGGGTCCTTTAGCGGGAACCCGGATAACACGAAAGGGAACTCGTGGGAAAAGCGAAGCCCACGCCAGAGGGGCCGCGAGGAAGGAGCGGGATTGAGCTGGGACTAGGGCCAGCCGGACCTTCATCCTGGGAGGATCAACCTTGGCCTGGAGCTGCCCCACATTACACGGTTGGCAAGTGGCCCGACAGATCACCTGCTGAGACCACTATATCTGTACCCCAACCGCCCCGTCTGCAACAGCGTCCGCCTCTTTTGATGGCTACCAGAGTACAGTCGGGGGAACGCTGGCGCGCACCAGAAGGACTGTGAAGGTAAGGAGTGCGCGAGCTCGGGCTCCGGGCAGCCAGGCTTTGATTCTGGGAGGATCAGCCTTGGCCTGGGCTTTGCCCATTTTAGAAGGTTTGCTAGAGGCCAGCCGGACTCTGGCATTGGGAGGTTGAGACCGGGCATAAAATGGGTAATGAGCCCCATTCTGGCCCGACAAGACGGGTATATGGGAGCAGGGAAATGGGAGGGTCAACGCTGGGCACTGGACTGTGGCATGCCCTCCCTCCTGCCAAACATAAATAGGCACACACACACACACACACACACACACACACGCATGCACGCACACACAGAGGCACTCACACTACTAGGGAAAACAAGCGAACTTTGTTCGAGAAGACGGTGGAAAAGTATGCCATGCCTTGGCATTCGGAAATGCGCCCTGGCCTGGGCAATTCGATTTGGGAGTTGTTTGTGGGAGAGGGAGATGAAGCAGGGGGCAAACAGCCTGGCCTTGAGGGACTCCCCTCAGTCATGGACACCGCTATTTCTGGGGATTTTGGGGGCAGAGCTTAGGGGAAGGAACAGAGGTGCCTGCGCCCAGGGGCAAGTCTTAGCGTGCAGATGAGCCCTGGCAAAGAGGGTGGGCAGTGAAGAGGAGGTGCAGACACTGTTCCTTGGCACAGAGGAAGGCACGGAGCTCCAGACCCTCCACCTCTCTAACACCTTTTCTTCCGGCCACACTGTGCCAGGGCTTGGCTCTCTTGAGCACCTGCTGAGACCGCGGCTCCCGTCTAGCGACAGCACCGTCCTCGTCCGCGTCCTCGTCCGCGTCCTTTGGTGCCTACCGGAGTAACGCCTGAGGAATGTTGGGCGCGCGCTAGACGGAGTGCGAGCACAAAGTGGGCGCGAGCTCGGGCTAGGGACAGCCAGGCTTTCATTCTGGGAAGATCTCCCTTGGCCTGGGTCTGCCCCAGTTGAGAGGGTTTCCTAGAGAGCAGCTGGGCTCTGGCATTGGGAGGAAGAGACCGGCCAAAACATGGCTTAAAGTGGGTAATGAGCCCCATTCAAGCCAGGCAGAAGAGGAATATGGGGCCAGGGGACTGTGAGGGTCAA